AGGGGAAACGGTCTGAGGGAACAGGACAAGGTCTAGGGACAAGTCCCAGAGGGGACAGAGTCTGAGGGTCTGGGGGGACAGGTCCCAAAAGGGACAGGAGAAGATCCATCAAGGGCAGGGTTGGAGGGGAGGACCCAAAGGGGACAAAGTCCTATAGGAGAAAGGGGACAGTGTATGAGCCAACCGAGGTGTAGAGAAGTGCTTGAGGCCCAGCACAGGATGCCCTGAAGGGCTGGAACTCCCCGGGTGTCTTTGCAGGGACGTGCAGATCGGGGACATCGTCACCGTGGGCGAGTGTCGGCCCCTCAGCAAGACTGTGCGCTTCAATGTCCTCAAGGTCACCAAGGCCGCTGGCACCAAGAAGCAGTTTCAGAAGTTCTAAAAAATCCCAAAAACGGCGTGTGGAACACCCGCGGGACAAATAAAACGTGTAAAACCCACATCCCTGGAAGTAGGCAGCACAGGGACCCGGGGACACACCCAAGTGTGGGCATTGGTGCAGGCAGCGTGACATTTTGGGGAGAAAAGGGGAGGTTTTGGGTGAGGCTGCTGCCTCCTCCTGGGCTCTGCAGGAGGAGTTTCGGTTGTGGGGAAAATGGAGCACAGCAAAAAAAGAAAAAGGCATATGTGACACAGCCTGGCCCCTTTCGGCTGCTTTTTTGGGATGTTTTGGTTCAGTCCAGGTTTCTGCCATACCCTCCCGATGTTGCCACGGGTGGCACAGATGGACGGTGGTCACGTGGCTTAAACCCTCCCGGTGCTGCCAAGGTGGTTGTGAGCCCAGGTGGGTTCCTGGGATGCCACACAGTGGTTTCATACCCGGAGGTGCCCGGGTGTGGTGTCACCAGGCCGGGGGTGGGAATTGCCGCCCCAGAACCGGCTGTTCTGGCAGGTATTTGTAGAGGTGACAGTTCACGATTCCAGCTGTTCATCTGGGACACTGACCCAATTTTGGGGGGAAAGCCAGGAGAGAGCGATGACAGGAGACAGTAATGGGTGATGGGAGGGTGTAGTGAGTAGAACCAGAGGGAGTATGGTCAAAATTCAGGGTTTTAGGTCAGCTGGGGGTGTCACCTTGACCCTGGAGCAGCTCTGAGGGCATCACCTGAGCCTGGGGGAATTCTGCAGGCTCTGGCTCTAGTGGACTGGAGATGTCACTGGTAACACCAATCTTGTCAGTCCCAGAGAATCATGGAGTCGCAGAGTGGTTTGGGTGGGAAGGGACCTGTCAAGAGCACCTAGCCCAGCTTCCCCTGGAGGGAGCAGGGACATCTGCAACTAGAGCAGGTTGCTCAGAGCCCTGGCCAACCTCCCCTGGAATGGTTCCAGGGATGGGGCAGTGACCACCTCTTGGGGCAGCCTGGGCCAGGGGCTCACCACCTTCAGTATGAAGAAGGCCTGTGTGATCTGGTTGGTTGAGCAGTGACTAGTTGTCTTAGAGCATTGAAGACCTGGTGAAGTTTATGGGAATTATGTGAACTTGGCTTAAACTTTGGGACCTGTTTAGATAGTCCAAGCTTGAAGTGCAGCTGAAGGCTCTAACACCATCAACTCCAGAGCTTGGTGGCTCATGTACAACCCTGAGCATGTGCAGACACCAAAGCTCTTCTCACCATGTTGACAACCACCTATTTTCCCATCCTGGATAATTTTCTTCATCGCTCTAGTCCAGGAGGTTGACCTCAGGTAGACCAAGTCCTTCCTGTCCTCATCAGTGCTGGAGATTTTGAAACCTGACAGATGCAGAAGTTAATTTGTAGAGGCAGTTGCTCCATGGTGGGCTGGAGTCCTGTGGGGAGAGGGGACAACATATTCTCCCGGTGATTCCTAGCCCAGGCACAGACACTGAGCATGTTGGGCAACTTGGTAATCGGCAAAATGTAATGAGAGAAAACCAACTGATTTCTCACCAACTCCAGCCCAAATGAGGCTGCTGCAGATATGTTTGAGGGGCCCTGTGGGGACGTGTCTGGAGAGCTCCATCACTTGGTGGAGTCTCTGGGCTGTCCTCTGGGAAGGGCTTTCCCAGGTTCATGCTAATGTAGTCATGGGATCATGGAGTCAGATAGGTTGAAAAAGGTCTTTGAGATCAAGTCCAACCATTGCCCCAGCACTGCCAGGTCCCCACTGACCCATGTCCCTCAACACCACATCTCCACAGCTTGGAAACCCCTCCAGGGATGGGGACTCCACCACTGCTCTGGGCAGCCTGGCACAGCCCTGGACAACCCTCCAGGGCAAGAAATTGTTCCTCAGGGCCAATCTCAACCTCCCTTGGGGCAACTTGAGGCCCTTTCCTCTTGTCCTGTGGCTTGTCCCTGGGAGAAGAGCCCAACCCCCTCCTGGCTCCAGCCTCCTGTCAGGGAGGCAGAAGGTCTCCCCTGAGCCTCCTTTGCTCCAGGCTCAGCACCTCCAGCTCCCTCAGCTGCTCCTCCCCACCCTTGGGCTCTAGACCCTTCCCCAGCAGCTTCGTTGCCCTTCTCTGGCCACGCTCCAGCCCCTCTAGGTTGC